ATTATGGGCTTTGCATTAAAGTTCCCCTAGTCTTTTCCTTCTCTTTCTCTTTCTATGTTCTTTCCCTTCGAACAAGCTCAACGTTTAGCTTCATCAATGGAGTTTGGTCATCTTCAACTTCTATTATCAACGCAGGGCCGACCAAAAAAGGGGCCGTGAGCCGTCTCTCAGGCTGCTCCCTCTTATAGTACGCCATGTTATGATACATAATGACTTAATAATATGAAAATGTGGTATTGGAAATTAGTGATTGAATAACATTATGCCAAATACGTAGTGTGTAATTAGAGAGCATTAGTGTTATTATCCAAGGAAATGATGAACATTGAGAGAAAGGGGGAATTTATTGACGAAAAGTATGTATCATTATTCAACTTAAAATAAATAACAAAAATACAAGTATGGAGAATACAAAAAGATGAAAGAATACAAATGAAATAAAACAATTATACATTTTTTTTTATTACAAATTATCATAATTTATTATGTCGAAAAAAAGAATAATTCAGGAAAGGAATTTTGTTAAGCTGTGCCGAATATTCGCTTCATCCGCATAACTTCATTTTTACTCAAAAGTGTAATTTTCTGGGCAATGTCAGCAGGTAAGTTCCCAGCAAATAAGGCAGTAGGAGTGAGCTGTAGTGCAGGGTTTGCTCCGTTCAAACTAACAAACGCGGTAGCCGGAGTTTTGCCAACGTTGATTTGGAAGTGAAGCATGGCTTGTGGAAATACCATGACATCACCAACCTCTAATCTTTTATAGTATGCAGTGTTGGTAGTATCAATAAATCCAGCAATAATTGAACCTTTCACCAAAATAAGAACTTCTGATGTACGATGGGAGTGTACTGGAATTACTCCTCCTACGGCGAAGTCTAACCTAGCCATAGATATGCCTAAACCGTTAAACGCTGGGAAGACATCTGAAAATGCTAATGTCACATTGTTCCCAAAAACATTGTTAGGAGTTTTTTTCACCACGGAAACCTGTGTAAACAAAATCATCAGTTGTGACTTTAGCAGGATCTTTACAAGCATACCCTTGAGGTCCTCTAGGAAGACTAGGATCCCCAACACAAAAGTCGAGCTCTATGGCATGAGACAGAGTGGCTAGGAGACAAAAGACGAAGAAAAATGAAAGATTGTTCATCGCGTAAGGTTTGAATAGCTAGAAGGTGTTGTAACTTGTAAGGTGGTGTTTGATCGTAAACTTAATACCAATGTAAGTATTGAAGTCTAGATATAATAATGTTGTAGATTGGTTTGTTGTATATTCTGAGAGGCAATTGGAACCCTTTATATAGAAAACACATTTGGTTAGTATGGCACTTTGCCTTGTTTTGTTCAATTCGTTAAGGGTGTGATATTCTTTATTTGATATGAAAGTCAAAGAAATACTACCAGTTTTGCATTTAATTAAGAAGTGACTCGATGCGGCTGAAAATCTGTTTTTATTTTTTTTAGTTAATTTTTGTCAGCATTGTTGTTTTATTGACTTGAATACTTCTTCAATTCAACTTTCTCCAAATGGTATGTATGAGTTTAATAATATAATATTATTTCCAATTCAATTAATTTTTTCATGGTGTTATTAGGAATTTAGATATTATCTTCAAGTACCACATTATTGAAGCTTCTAGGGCTCCGGAAATCTTGCCTGCATTTCGCATTTTATTTCTTAATAATTACTTGTATATAAGATCAAGTCAAGGTTGACCAGACTACCAAATTGCATGATGACTTATTTTGGGTTATAGAGAGTTAGAAAGGGTGGCCGGCTATGAAACAAAATGTAGAGAGTCTATTATGTATACCTATGTGTATCGTATCCTCGGGATTATTATTTGCCCTTTTAATCAACAAATGTGTAAAAATATTATTTGCACATTTGTTGATTAAATAAGCAAATGACTTCGGGTATACGGTACACCGGAGTATATATATATATATCAAATTCTACAAAATATATAGGATTCCGTATCGATACGTAGGTGTTTTATCTAAATACTTTGTAGTTAAATAATTAAACTATCCTGTATTAAAAAAAAATAATAAACTAGCTAGCAAGTTAACAATAATAGTTTTAGGAGATCTTATTATATTATAACTAGATGAATCCCGTGCGATGCACGGTTAGTTTTTTTTTTTTTAAATAATGTTTTTTTTTTGTATTTATGAGCCTAAAATTTGTTATATATTTAGATAAAATTCCTAATATTAAAAGATAATATATAATATTTAATTAATTTAAACTTAAAAATCTCATTCGACAATTTTTCTTACATGGCATTTAAATTATTTAATTCTACAAGAAATTAATAATCTCTTATTTAATTGGCTACTACTAAGATTTATAATCCTACATGGCGCGCTGAAAAAATTAGATCCTACGTGGCTCTCTAAAAACTCGGGAAAAAACTCCCCTTTATATATATAATTAGATTATGAATTATTTTTATTGCACAATATTTCGATATATAATTATACTATGGTAAATAACTAACAATTAGAATTGCACTTTATACTTCCTAAGCCATGCTCAGTTTTTAAAATTAATTTTATTTGAAATATAAAAGTTTCTTTTGATATGTAACTCAATAGTCAAGCATAATAGTTTATAAATATACGAATCAAAAAATGCTTAAGCAATTTAATTATTCTTTGGAACAAAAAAAGTATATTGTAGAGTGTAATTTTTTTTTTTTTTTTTTAGTTTTAATAATAATAGTGTACATGATTGGAGCACATTCATCTCACCAATCAATTGGGATCGACAACATAGCCCAATGCCAATTTACCTTTACCAAGCTAAACTTAGGGAACTAATACCTAATCACATTTATCTTTGTTACTTGTATAAGAATAGTGAAGCTGCTAAGAGTTAGCTATTAGCCAAAAAATGGCTACCTCTTCTTCATAAAAAAAATGGCTACCTCTTCTTCATAAAAAAAATGGCTTCCTCTTATATAATTTTTGTTTTCTCAAACCTCTTATAAATATAAATGAAGTAGCTCCAACCAAATTAGAGTGGTTGATGTGGTCTGCTAAATGACAATTGCTACTTTGCTAGCAATTTTTCCTCCTTCTTCAATTCTTTTTATTACAAAAAGGTTTAATAAAATCTACAAATAAAATACTTCCACAAAGTTATTAAGTAATACTCCCTTCGTTTTTGTTATTTGCATCACTTGTAAATGCACGGAGTTTTAAAAGAATTAATTTGGTATAATATAATAATTTGAGTGGATGAATATTTATTATGGTAAGAGTAATATGAAAACCATAAAAGTAAAAGTATGTAAAATAGAGTAGAGGGGACCATGAGAGAAAGAAGTGATAAATTAATTTGTGTGGAATTTAAGTAAGAGAGAAAAATAATAAAATATAGTATAAATCACCATATATAAAAGTGATGCAAATTAAAGGGAAAGTGATATGCAATTTTTTTTTTATTTTTTTTTAAAAAAAAAAAATGAAGGGAGGTTTTCCTAAGCATAAGACCATCTCCAGTGGTCAGATTTGAAGGGGTTATTTAGGAGAGAGTGTATTTTTTGCAAAAAAATACCAATAATAATACGTAAGTTGGTATTTAAACTTAGAAACTCCAAAAGAAAGTTGCTAAGTTTAGATATTCAACTTAGAGTCTCAATTGACAAAGAATATGGGTCCTTTATCAATATTATACTTTTTTTTTTATTTTGAAAAATATGAATCTGATGGGCCATAAATTATATGAATGTGATATGATATTAGTATACTTTAGGGAGTCTCGCAATTGAAGAATTAGACTTTACATGAGTTGCTAAATTGAGAAGTGGGTTGGGTATTATCTTTGGAGGAAAAAAAAAAAAAAAAAAAAAAAAAAAAAAAAAAAAAAAAAAAAAACTCATTTTGTATTTCAATACTCAAAGTTGAGTTTGATCATGGAGATGGTCTATCCTCAACAACTATATTATTGTTCCATTTTCATTCAAAAAATAAATAAATAAAAATAGTGTTGTTCTTGCGTAACAAAAGGGCAATGCAATAGGTTTTTAAGATGAAATACTTATATAGTTATATTACAAGAGGCCATAAGCTAGGGTAAATGGTAAGAGGAAAAAGGTATTCTATATTTGTATCCGGAAATTAAACGTTAAGAAAAGGAACTAGTAAAAGACTAAAAGCAAAGGAAATTAAACGATAATTAGGTGAAAACTTCAATTAATCCTTACACACAAAAGAAGAAAAACCGCGATCCATTTACGTTTTGTTTGGATAGCAAAGAAGGAAGGAAAAGAAGGGGAGGGAAAATGGAGGAAGGGAAGGGAAAAGAAAGGGAGGGGGAGGTGAGCTCCATTTTCCCTCCAAATCTCTCCAATTTTGAAGAGATTATGCTTATTAAAGAAAGAAGGAAAATGGATCACTCCCTCTCCTTTCCCTTCCTTCCCCCAATCTTTTACCCAAACAAGAGAATTTGACCCCCCCCCCCCCCCCCAATTTCTCTTCTCTTCTTTTCCTTTCATTTCTTCCTATCCAAACAAAGTGTCAGGATTTTAACTCAAACTTAGACTTCAATAAAGAATAGGGTAACACCTTTGTTACAACTTACAACTATTTTGGTCAATTAAATCCCCCACAACGTAATTTAGTAATTTACTAATCACAATGGTTGTTTGTTTCGTTTATGAAACTGCTTCTTGTTAACCCTTTTCTTTATCTTAGGAACTTTACTAATTAATCTTCCATGATTTGTTTTAAGCTAAGTAATGTAAAACGTTCCCATCGCATCTCAACGCAAAAATTAGTTGATTATCATAACAACACACAATGTTTTAGGGGATAAGTTCTTGAATTGTATCAGCTTATAATCAAAAAAATTTTGTCATCATCATTAGTTTATTGATACAAATCATAATGATACTTCTTACAAATATGATTAAAATAATTCCGTCAGTACATGCATCAAATGTGTATCAAATTTTTAATATACAGTGCAAGTAATAATGTTGATGAGATCCACAAAGCAACAAGCTATAAACGAAGTATATTTGTATGCTATTGGTGTATAGCAAGTTACAAATGACAAATGACAAATGACAAATGGCAGTACACAGCACATTTACATAATGCACCTGGACTTGGGTCTCACATTCATTAATGCAATTTGCAAATCACGTCTAAATATAAATCTTTTGTATATAGACAAAGAGATTTTTATCTAAACAAAAAGATTAATTTCTAAGTATATGTAAGGGTATTTATTAATACAAAAAGATGAAGGAATACAAAGGACATAGATTGAACATACATTTTTATCAAAAAAAAAAAAAAAATCTTAATTTATTACATTTGAATTTGGAATGATTCGGGAACGAAATTTTGTTAAGCTGTGCCGAATATACGCTTCATCCGCATAACTTCACTTCTACTCACAAGTGTAATTTTCTGGGCAATGTCAGCAGGTAAGTTCCCAGCAAATAAGGCAGTAGGAGTAAGTTGCAGTGCAGGATTTGCTCCATTCAAACTAACATACGCAGTAGCCGGAGTTTTGCCAACGTTGATTTGGAAGTGAAGCATGGCTTGTGGAAATACCATGACATCACCAACCTCTAATCTTTTATAGTATGCGGTGTTGTTGGTATCAATAAAACCTGCAATGATTGAACCTTTAACCAAAATAAGAACTTCAGATGTACGATGGGAGTGTACTGGGATTACTCCTCCAACGGCAAAGTCTAACCTGGCCATAGATATGCCTAAACCATTAAATGCTGGGAACACATCTGAAAATGCCAATGTCACATTATTCCCGAAAACATTATTGGGAGTTTTCTCACCACGAAAACCTGTATAAACAAAATCATCAATTGTGACTTTAGTAGGATCTTTGCAAGCATATCCTTGAGGTCCTCTAGGAAGACTGGGATCCCCAACACAGAAGTCGAGCTCTATGGCATAAGACAAAGTAGCGAAGAAACAGAAGACAAAGAAAATTGAAAGATTGCTCATTGTGCAAGCTTGTTTTAGCTAGAAAGGTTGTGTTGGGTCGTTAAATAAAGCTAGTATAAGTGGTTATTGCAGATTGGTTTCTTGCATTTTCTTAGCGGCAATTGGTACCCTTTATATAGAGGAAACATTTTTCGTTTGTATGGCTTGACTTGTTCAATTGTTCAAAAAGGGTATGATATTGTTTTTTTGTATATATGAAAGTCAAAGGAAAAATTTGATATTTTGAGTCATTTAATCCAATAAGTTGATATCACCGTCATTGTTTTATTGACTTGAATATAATTTTAAATTAATGTTTCTCAAAATAAATACGTAGTATCTAAAATTGTTTACGTGGGTTGAATTTATATAGGTTATACTCATTGAAGAATATGATTATATTTTTTTCGTGTGTCTAGAACCATAAAATTCCAAATTCAAGCTTCTGGTGCTCCGAAAATCTTGCCTGCATTTCACGTAATTTTTAATAATATGCTTGGCTAGAAATTATTATTTCTACTTCGTATAAGGCTACTCGAGTAGCCAAACCCTAGACTAACAAGTTGCATGATAACTTGTGGTTTTGCGTATAGAGTCGTGGATTGAATGTGAGAGATATAATACAAAATGTTGTAGTACCTCCGTTAAATATTACTCCGTAGTTATAATTCAAATATTCAATAATTTTTGGGTGTGATTTTATTGACTCGATGATTGAATTTTTAACATTATACAATATTGAATTTATGTATACGAGTATTTATGTATTCTAGAGAGGATATTGAATGTATTTCGTTGAATTTTGAATAAAATTTATTTAATTACTTAAAATATTAAGTTGCAAACTGTGGTTTAATAACATATATATATAAACTTTCAATTTTCGTTGACAATTTTAATGGCCAAAAATTTTCTTTGGCACTATGTTATTTCTTGTATTGTTCGTATGTGCTTAAATTATATATTTGTAGTACAGTTATTGCTTAAAGCTTGGCTTTCCTCGATCTTCAAAACAAAGATATTTTATTTTTTGTATTATGGAAATTTAATATCTCCTCACAACCTTGACTAAATGCATGAGGCTAGACTATTTTTGTGTAGTATTCACGTAGTCGTCAACTTGTCATATAAACTTATAAAGTTCAATATAAACGTATTGGTATCAAGGATAACACATTTGTTGTGTTGTATATGGACGAAAAACTCCTTAGAAATTGACTTATACTTTATACTCCCTCCGTTTCATAATGTTAGTCCCATATACTATTTTGGGCGTTTCAAAATAATCTACCCTTATTGAATCTATTCCTTTTTAAATTTTATTTTATTTTCCTAATTTCGTCTTATAATTTCTAATCCCATTAGTGGATTGATGACATGACAGTAATTAAATATTATGATTGGTCATCAATCCCATTAAACAAGCATTGTAATTGATGCTTTCCAAATAAAAAAATCACAACATTTAATAAGATAGATTTAATTAAGCAATTTTTGTACTAAAATGTAATATTCCAAAGGAAAAATGGAATCTAAAAATCCAACCTTTGCAAGGTCTGACAAAAAAAATCCAACCTTTAATTAATCTCACAAAAATCCAACCTTTGCATCCCACCTTCTTTCACAGATCCATTACCTGTTGATGACCGATTTTTGTAAGTTGTGTGTTATATGTCAGTCATTAATTGGTCAATTATTTTTTTAATTATTAAAAAACAAAAAAAAAAATTAAAGAAAAAAAACAGATAAAAAAAAAAAAACCCAACACCAGCCACCCACCCACCTCCCTCACCCCACCGAAACTTCCCCCCAACCAACACCAGCCACCTCCCCCATCCCTCGCACCACCCCAGCCACCTCCCCCACTCCCCGGAAACTTCCCCCCACCCCCAACCAGCCCCACCATTGGGGTCGTCGGATTCCGACGATCTCCCCCCACCCCCCACCCCTTGCCGCAACCTCCCAACCACCAAAACCCCCTACGATCTAAACCCTAACCACCACACCAAACACCCTATTCGACCCCCCTAACCAGCCCAACCCCTCCCCGAACCTCCCCACCGCCGCCCTGACCCTCCCCGACCCATTTCCACCCCTCCCCACCCTAAACCCGACCCAAATTAGCCCCCTTAGCTTCCACCCAAATCCAACAACCCCCGGTTTTGTGGGTCGAGTTTCGTGGGTGGCTGGGGTTCTGGGGTGGTCGGGGTTTAGCCGTTTAGGGTGGTTAGTGTTAGGGTTGCGTTCTGGGGTGTTCGGCCGTTTAGGGTGGTTGGTGTTAGGGTGGCGAATTGGTGGTGGTGTCTTGGTGGGTTGTTGGAGAGAGGAGAGAGAAAGAGGAGTGAGAAGGGAAATTAAAGAGAATTAAAAAAAAAAAACTTTTTTACCTGTTTAATAGGTTAAAGGTCAAATGGATCTGTAGGAGAAGGTGGGGTGCAAAGGTTGGATTTTTGTGAGATTAATTAAAGGTTGGATTTTTTTTGTCAGACCTCGAAAAGGTTAGATTTTTATATTCCATTTTATCTATTCCAAATATTATTCATTCTCTTAATTTTTTTTTGTGATTAATTCTATATGGGACTAACAAAGTAAAACAAAGGGAGTATATTAGAAATAATATGATTAATATCCAGTCAAAAATAGTTTGTCTAGTCTATAACATTTAATTGCTCGGATCGGGTTGATTATGGATTCATAAACTAAATATGTTTCTCAATAGAAAAATTTGTTAATTAATGCATCTTTTTTTCCATAGTTTATAAATATAATTGCTATTTCAAGTGATTTAGGGCCTATTCTCATTGACTGAACTGAACTGAGCTGAACTGAACTTAACTGAACTGAACTGGATTGAATATTTTATAAGAGAAGGAAATTAGTAGCTAAACTGAACTGAACTGAATATTTTATAAGAGAAGGAAATTAGTAGCTGAACTGAACTGAACTGAACTAAGCTGAATTTCAACGTAAGAGAACAGACCCTTAGCTTGTGATATTATAAGTTTCACCCTTTTATAAACGAAGTTTGTTCATCAAAAACAGAAACAAGGCTCCCTCGACAATTATTCGGTAGTAATCAATTATTGTAATAAAAAAAAAGAGGAAAAAATATGTCAGTCATACGGTGCTCTATCAAAAAAAAATAAATAAATAACTCCCTCCATTTTATATTATAATTTCTATATTTTTTTTTTGAAGCAATTTCTATATTTATTTAAGCAATCTTTAAGATGTAAAAGACAATTCAATGACTCTCAAAAAATTGTTGCTATTCTAATTAATTTCAATCTCAACCTTTTACTTTATGCACCAATCTTGTCCATCCATCTAATAAATTCTAATTGACTTAAAAAAATTTAAATATAAAAAACAGAAAAAAAAAAAAAAAAGTTGAAAAAATTATTTAATAATAACTTTGAATACAAAAATTATTTTTAAAAAATTGAGTTACTAGTTGGGTGGAGGGATGGGTAGCGGTAAGCACCAGCTAGGGAGGTTGTAGGTTCGATCGGCTAAGGTAGGGGCAGGGTGGTGGTTCACCGGCGAGGGGCAAGGTAGGGCTGGTTGGGGTTCGCGAGCAGGGTTGATAGGGTTCGCAAGAGGGTGGGCGTTTGCGAGGGTCTGAGGTGGGACTAGGAGAGGTTGTTGTTAATGTTTGGGTCTGGGTTGGCGAATAGGGTAGGGGCTGGGTTGGTGGATTAGGTGGGGTTTCGTGGGAGAGGCCGCATCAGGTAAGGGGTTTCATGACTCATGAGTAAGGGAGGAGGTGGGGTTTGTTGCCGGTAGGGTTAAGACTAGGAGAGGTTCACAGGGAAAGGGGGGTTGGTGGGGTTTGTCCGACAATTGGAGTTGGCTGTGTTTTCTCTTTATTTTTATTTCTTTTTTAGGAATGTTATTTTATTTTTCTTAATTATTTTTAAGAGTTTTTATTACTCCGTATTATTTTTTTTATTATAAAGTGGTTAGATTAGTTAATTGAGTTTATAAGCTGTTAACAGGGATTTAGTTAAACTTTTTTTAAAAAAAATATTTAAAACAAGTATCAACAATAACGTTTTAACACGTGACACATCAACCGATTATATATAACCCATGCAACAGGTTATGACTTTATTGGAAGAGTGACCATAAAGTTGTGTTATTTTTGAATTGATTAAAGTTAAACTTAATATTGAAAGAGTTCCCAAATTTCAACTTATTGCTGTTATTTTTTCCAAAAATTTAAAATTATTGTTAGATTGTTGAACAATTTAAAAAATTTCTACTTTCACTCACTTTAGCGGAAAAAAGTTGAAGTAAAAAGGTTTTGAAAATTTTGATTATTTCGTTTATTGAATGATATATTAATTGTTTTGATAATATGATTAATTGTTTATTAGATATTATTAATAATCATGGATGATAGTATGTCTATATATATATAGGGCTTGATGATACAACACATTGTTTTAATATCGATGATATGATTAGTTGGTTAGGTGTGATCATTTATTGTTTGGATGATATATAATTAATTGTATGGATGATACCATTCACTGTTTCAATTATATCATCCGATCCATTGGTTAGATGATACTGAAAAGTGACTTTTACATCACTTTTAGGGGATAACTAGGCTCGTTTTTAGGTTTATTAGTTTTTAATAATCTTCCTTATCAAATTCTGACATGGGTTTAGGTACTACCTCATTTTCACTAGTAGTTTTGGTGATTTTGAAATCACCAACTTCAATAACTCTCCAAACTTGGTAGTTGTCAGCTTTGATAAAAATCTTCATCCTGTTCTTCCAATAGGTGTAGAACTTCCCATTGAACATAGGAGGACGCTGCGTAGAGTAACCTTCTTCCAGTTTCTCGTGATTGTTCATCTTGCTTCCAGGAACTTAACTCGTCAGAGTTTTCTGATTTCTTCGAGTAACTAGCTCTGATACCAGTTGTTGACTCGAATGAACAATACAAAAGGGGGGTGAATTGTATTGTAGAGGAAACAGGGTAATTTTGCGGAATTAATAAAGAGACTCAAACAAAAACTGAAAGTGCAAAGAGAGATTTTACGTGGAAACTTCTTGGCCCTAATCAAGAAGAAAAACCACGACCACAAGGGATTTTAAACTCAACTCTTAATAATAATAGGGCAAACAACCTATTACAAATTAAGACTCTAACTTAAGTTACTCAACGAACTCAAGTTCCCCTTCAACTGATCCCTCAACCGGTTGAACGCTCTAACTCTCTCTTTCTCCTTGCTTCACTCAAAACAATAAACACTTTTAGAGTTTCCCCAAACTCTATCCCAAAACAATTCAAGATTAAACTCTAAATGCTAAGTAGTAAGACACTCAAGGACTTAAGTGGATTATGACTCTTTTTAAAAGCTAAAAGATTCTAATGCTCAAGTGTGTTTTTCTCAACAGAAAACCGAGTCTAATTATAGAAGAATTAGGAAGTTAAAATTGTCGTTGCCTTAATCACAACTCCCTTAGAATTAGGAAGTGTAAGGAGTGGGATCTTGGGCAGCAAGTAAAACCGTAACTGAAGGAAGTGGTTTTATTGCTTCCTTAATTTTCTCAAAATACTTTTGACAAAGTAAACGCACGTTGAAATAAAGACTTTCCAAAACTGATTTACCAAAAAGATAGGCATGAATAAAACAGAAAATATTTTCATCAAAAAGATATTTTAACTAAAGAATATTTTCGAAAATAAATAAGTAAAAATATGGAAAATAAAATCTTTATCACATAAAATTAAATCCACTTAAATCCTATCAATTATCATTGTACTTAGCATAAATACAAGAAGCTTAAAATTAAATATAAAATAAAAATAGACTCCTTGAAACTTTGAGAAGCTTTGACTCTGGAGCTTCAGTTCCTCACTTAAGGAACTTGCCTTTGAAGCTTCAACTCTGGAACTTCAGTTCCTCACTAAAGGAACATGACTTCTGATTGTCTTCTATATCCTTCCATAGCAGACCTAGACCTTGTCCCATTCTCCATTCTTACTCCAGAATTTCGTAGCATAAACCTGGCATCAATCATAGCTAAAAACGAAAGTTAAACCAATATGAGCTTGTTTAGGTTCCTTGAGTCATCATCAAAACATAAGGTCAACAAAAGGAGAAGAAAGAGGGAGCCCTAGTTGACCTTGAGGATAAATATGAGGCTTTTATGTTATAGGATTACAGTAAACATATTACACTGGGGATCTTGTTAGAGTAATAAAAAATAGGAAAATTTTTGAGGAAGGTCCTTTTAAGTGGTCAACCTTGTGAGAAAGGTCATTTGATAAAAAGAAAGTGGCACAAAAGATCCTTATATCTCATTTGGATTGTGTGGAGAGTCCGTTGACCAAATCCCGGCGTTGACTAAAATTTTCCTCCTGAATTTTTAGCTCTATTCATTTCCTTTCATTAACAAAATATTGGAAAATAAAAACACCTTCGTTTCGCTTCTTTTCCCTTCCATTTCATTCCTTTCTCTTCTTTTCTTTCACTAATATTCAACCAAACAAACCCTAAGTGTATGACGTATGGACTATTAAGCTGATGTGTCAAACATTCTTTTCATCCGCTTACAATAAATAAAAATGGAGGGAAAAAAAAGAATGATTATACATATATAGTTATTGGATAAAAATACTATTCTGATAATATAGTACCTTCATATGAAAAGGAAATATTATAGTTATTGAGGTTTGATCAAAAGAAAAGTCAAAAAAGAAAGAAAAAAAAAACGGGAAATATTTAATCATGAGGTGGCACGTGTCATTTTAGATTCGCCTTTAGTATATAGTTTTTATAAATTTATTTGTATAAATATATAGCTACAGGTAATATTATTGCAAATGATGAATAATAAAAATTTTCCACAACTTTTAAATTTTCAAAAAAAGAATTTATTGGAGCATGCATAACTAGTTATTGGCTCAGACGACGCCCCAATTACTATAAATTTGTGAGTTTGATAAAAAAAAAATTAAAAGGTTAATGTTCAACAATATTTATAAAAGAATTAAAAAATAATAATAAATTTAAGATTAATGGGTATTAGTTTTTTTCACTTTACTTTATAATAGTACCTTTTTGTCAAAAAATAAAATAAAATAAAATTTATGGAGTAATTTGTATAATTGCTTAATTGATATTGAATCTAGATTATTAGCATCCAAAATATCAACAACCATTAGTGTGTGATTAGTGATTTAATATTTTAATAATATTATAGATAAGAATTCACTAATTTGGTGGAATTATGGGCTTTGCATTAAAGTTCCCCTAGTCTTTTCCTTCTCTTTCTCTTTCTATGTTCTTTCCCTTCGAACAAGCTCAACGTTTAGCTTCATCAATGGAGTTTGGTCATCTTCAACTTCTATTATCAACGCAGGGCCGACCAAAAAAGGGGCCGTGAGCCGTCTCTCAGGCTGCTCCCTCTTATAGTACGCCATGTTATGATACATAATGACTTAATAATATGAAAATGTGGTATTGGAAATTAGTGATTGAATAACATTATGCCAAATACGTAGTGTGTAATTAGAGAGCATTAGTGTTATTATCCAAGGAAATGATGAACATTGAGAGAAAGGGGGAATTTATTGACGAAAAGTATGTATCATTATTCAACTTAAAATAAATAACAAAAATACAAGTATGGAGAATACAAAAAGATGAAAGAATACAAATGAAATAAAACAATTATACATTTTTTTTTATTACAAATTATCATAATTTATTATGTCGAAAAAAAGAATAATTCAGGAAAGGAATTTTGTTAAGCTGTGCCGAATATTCGCTTCATCCGCATAACTTCATTTTTACTCAAAAGTGTAATTTTCTGGGCAATGTCAGCAGGTAAGTTCCCAGCAAATAAGGCAGTAGGAGTGAGCTGTAGTGCAGGGTTTGCTCCGTTCAAACTAACAAACGCGGTAGCCGGAGTTTTGCCAACGTTGATTTGGAAGTGAAGCATGGCTTGTGGAAATACCATGACATCACCAACCTCTAATCTTTTATAGTATGCAGTGTTGGTAGTATCAATAAATCCAGCAATAATTGAACCTTTCACCAAAATAAGAACTTCTGATGTACGATGGGAGTGTACTGGAATTACTCCTCCTACGGCGAAGTCTAACCTAGCCATAGATATGCCTAAACCGTTAAACGCTGGGAAGACATCTGAAAATGCTAATGTCACATTGTTCCCAAAAACATTGTTAGGAGTTTTTTCACCACGGAAACCTGTGTAAACAAAATCATCAGTTGTGACTTTAGCAGGATCTTTACAAGCATACCCTTGAGGTCCTCTAGGAAGACTAGGATCCCCAACACAAAAGTCGAGCTCTATGGCATGAGACAGAGTGGCTAGGAGACAAAAGACGAAGAAAAATGAAAGATTGTTCATCGCGTAAGGTTTGAATAGCTAGAAGGTGTTGTAACTTGTAAGGTGGTGTTTGATCGTAAACTTAATACCAATGTAAGTATTGAAGTCTAGATATAATAATGTTGTAGATTGGTTTGTTGTATATTCTGAGAGGCAATTGGAACCCTTTATATAGAAAACACATTTGGTTAGTATGGCACTTTGCCTTGTTTTGTTCAATTCGTTAAGGGTGTGATATTCTTTATTTGATATGAAAGTCAAAGAAATACTACCAGTTTTGCATTTAATTAAGAAGTGACTCGATGCGGCTGAAAATCTGTTTTTATTTTTTTTAGTTAATTTTTGTCAGCATTGTTGTTTTATTGACTTGAATACTTCTTCAATTCAACTTTCTCCAAATGGTATGTATGAGTTTAATAATATAATATTATTTCCAATTCAATTAATTTTTTCATGGTGTTATTAGGAATTTAGATATTATCTTCAAGTACCACATTATTGAAGCTTCTAGGGCTCCGGAAATCTTGCCTGCATTTCGCATTTTATTTCTTAATAATTACTTGTATATAAGATCAAGTCAAGGTTGACCAGACTACCAAATTGCATGATGACTTATTTTGGGTTATAGAGAGTTAGAAAGGGTGGCCGGCTATGAAACAAAATGTAGAGAGTCTATTATGTATACCTATGTGTATCGTATCCTCGGGATTATTATTTGCCCTTTTAATCAACAAATGTGTAAAAATATTATTTGCACATTTGTTGATTAAATAAGCAAATGACTTCGGGTATACGGTACACCGGAGTATATATATATATATCAAATTCTACAAAATATATAGGATTCCGTATCGATACGTAGGTGTTTTATCTAAATACTTTGTAGTTAAATAATTAAACTATCCTGTATTAAAAAAAAATAATAAACTAGCTAGCAAGTTAACAATAATAGTTTTAGGAGATCTTATTATATTATAACTAGATGAATCCCGTGCGATGCACGGTTAGTTTTTTTTTTTTAAATAACGTTTTTTTTTGTATTTATGAGCCTAAAATTTGTTATATATTTAGATAAAATTCCTAATATTAAAAGATAATATATAATATTTAATTAATTTAAACTTAAAAATCTCATTCGACAATTTTTCTTACATGGCATTTAAATTATTTAATTCTACAAGAAATTAATAATCTCTTATTTAATTGGCTACTACTAAGATTTATAATCCTACATGGCGCGCTGAAAAAATTAGATCCTACGTGGCTCTCTAAAAACTCGGGAAAAAACTCCCCTTTATATATATAATTAGATTATGAATTATTTTTATTGCACAATATTTCGATATATAATTATACTATGGTAAATATCTAACAATTAGAATTGCACTTTATACTTCCTAAGCCATGCTCAGTTTTTAAAATTAATTTTATTTGAAATATAAAAGTTTCTTTTGATATGTAACTCAATAGTCAAGCATAATAGTTTATAAATATACGAATCAAAAAATGCTTAAGCAATTTAATTATTCTTTGGAACAAAAAAAGTATATTGTAGAGTGTAATTTTTTTTTTTTTTTTTTAGTTTTAATAATAATAGTGTACATGATTGGAGCACATTCATCTCACCAATCAATTGGGATCGACAACATAGCCCAATGCCAATTTACCTTTACCAAGCTAAACTTAGGGAACTAATACCTAATCACATTTATCTTTGTTACTTGTATAAGAATAGTGAAGCTGCTAAGAGTTAGCTATTAGCCAAAAAATGGCTACCTCTTCTTCATAAAAAAATTGGCTACCTCTTCTTCATAAAAAAAATGGCTTCCTCTTATATAATTTTTGTTTTCTCAAACCTCTTATAAATATAAATGAAGTAGCTCCAACCAAATTAGAGTGGTTGATGTGGTCTGCTAAATGACAATTGCTACTTTGCTAGCAATTTTTCCTCCTTCTTCAATTCTTTTTATTACAAAAAGGTTTAATAAAATCTACAAATAAAATACTTCCACAAAGTTATTAAGTAATACTCCCTTCGTTTTTGTTATTTGCATCACTTGTAAATGCACGGAGTTTTAAAAGAATTAATTTGGTATAATATAATAATTTGAGTGGATGAATATTTATTATGGTAAGAGTAATATGAAAACCATAAAAGTAAAAGTATGTAAAATAGAGTAGAGGGGACCATGAGAGAAAGAAATGATAAATTAATTTGTGTGGAATTTAAGTAAGAGAGAAAAATAATAAAATATAGTATAAATCACCATATATAAAAGTGATGCAAATTAAAGGGAAAGTGATATGCAATTTTTTTTTTATTTTTTTTTAAAAAAAAAAATGAAGGGAGGTTTTCCTAAGCATAAGACCATCTCCAGTGGTCAGATTTGAAGGGGTTATTTAGGAGAGAGTGTATTTTTTGCAAAAAAATACCAATAATAATACGTAAGTTGGTATTTAAACTTAGAAACTCCAAAAGAAAGTTGCTAAGTTTAGATATTCAACTTAGAGTCTCAATTGACAAAGAATATGGGTCCTTTATCAATATTATACTTTTTTTTTATTTTGAAAAATATGAATCTGATGGGCCATAAATTATATGAATGTGATATGATATTAGTATACTTTAGGGAGTCTCGCAATTGAAGAATTAGACTTTACATGAGTTGCTAAATTGAGAAGTGGGTTGGGTATTATCTTTGGAGGAAAAAAAAAAAAAAAAAAAAAAAAAAAAAAAAAAAAACTCATTTTGTATTTCAATACTCAAAGTTGAGTTTGATCATGGAGATGGTCTATCCTCAACAACTATATTATTGTTCCATTTTCATTCAAAAAATAAATAAATAAAAATAGTGTTGTTCTTGCGTAACAAAAGGGCAATGCAATAGGTTTTTAAGATGAAATACTTATATAGTTATATTACAAGAGGCCATAAGCTAGGGTAAATGGTAAGAGGAAAAAGGTATTCTATATTTGTATCCGGAAATTAAACGTTAAGAAAAGGAACTAGTAAAAGACTAAAAGCAAAGGAAATTAAACGATAATTAGGTGAAAACTTCAATTAATCCTTACACACAAAAGAAGAAAAACCGCGATCCATTTACGTTTTGTTTGGATAGCAAAGAAGGAAGGAAAAGAAGGGGAGGGAAAATGGAGGAAGGGAAGGGAAAAGAAAGGGAGGGGGAGGTGAGCTCCATTTTCCCTCCAAATCTCTCCAATTTTGAAGAGATTATGCTTATTAAAGAAAGAAGGAAAATGGATCACTCCCTCTCCTTTCCCTTCCTTCCCCCAATCTTTTACCCAAACAAGAGAATTTGACCCCCCCCCCCCCCCCCCAATTTCTCTTCTCTTCTTTTCCTTTCATTTCTTCCTATCCAAACAAAGTGTCAGGATTTTAACTCAAACTTAGACTTCAATAAAGAATAGGGTAACACCTTTGTTACAACTTACAACTATTTTGGTCAATTAAATCCCCCACAACGTAATTTAGTAATTTACTAATCACAATGGTTGTTTGTTTCGTTTATGAAACTGCTTCTTGTTAACCCTTTTCTTTATCTTAGGAACTTTACTAATTAATCTTCCATGATTTGTTTTAAGCTAAGTAATGTAAAACGTTCCCATCGCATCTCAACGCAAAAATTAGTTGATTATCATAACAACACACAATGTTTTAGGGGATAAGTTCTTGAATTGTATCAGCTTATAATCAAAAAAATTTTGTCATCATCATTAGTTTATTGATACAAATCATAATGATACTTCTTACAAATATGATTAAAATAATTCCGTCAGTACATGCATCAAATGTGTATCAAATTTTTAATATACAGTGCAAGTAATAATGTTGATGAGATCCACAAAGCAACAAGCTATAAACGAAGTATATTTGTATGCTATTGGTGTATAGCAAGTTACAAATGACAAATGACAAATGACAAATGGCAGTACACAGCACATTTACATAATGCACCTGGACTTGGGTCTCACATTCATTAATGCAATTTGCAAATCACGTCTAAATATAAATCTTTTGTATATAGACAAAGAGATTTTTATCTAAACAAAAAGATTAATTTCTAAGTATATGTAAGGGTATTTATTAATACAAAAAGATGAAGGAATACAAAGGACATAGATTGAACATACATTTTTATCAAAAAAAAAAAAAAAAAATCTTAATTTATTACATTTGAATTTGGAATGATTCGGGAACGAAATTTTGTTAAGCTGTGCCGAATATACGCTTCATCCGCATAACTTCACTTCTACTCACAAGTGTAATTTTCTGGGCAATGTCAGCAGGTAAGTTCCCAGCAAATAAGGCAGTAGGAGTAAGTTGCAGTGCAGGATTTGCTCCATTCAAACTAACATACGCAGTAGCCGGAGTTTTGCCAACGTTGATTTGGAAGTGAAGCATGGCTTGTGGAAATACCATGACATCACCAACCTCTAATCTTTTATAGTATGCGGTGTTGTTGGTATCAATAAAACCTGCAATGATTGAACCTTTAACCAAAATAAGAACTTCAGATGTACGATGGGAGTGTACTGGGATTACTCCTCCAACGGCAAAGTCTAACCTGGCCATAGATATGCCTAAACCATTAAATGCTGGGAACACATCTGAAAATGCCAATGTCACATTATTCCCGAAAACATTATTGGGAGTTTTCTCACCACGAAAACCTGTATAAACAAAATCATCAATTGTGACTTTAGTAGGATCTTTGCAAGCATATCCTTGAGGTCCTCTAGGAAGACTGGGATCCCCAACACAGAAGTCGAGCTCTATGGCATAAGACAAAGTAGCGAAGAAACAGAAGACAAAGAAAATTGAAAGATTGCTCATTGTGCAAGCTTGTTTTAGCTAGAAAGGTTGTGTTGGGTCGTTAAATAAAGCTAGTATAAGTGGTTATTGCAGATTGGTTTCTTGCATTTTCTTAGCGGCAATTGGTACCCTTTATATAGAGGAAACATTTTTCGTTTGTATGGCTTGACTTGTTCAATTGTTCAAAAAGGGTATGATATTGTTTTTTTGTATATATGAAAGTCAAAGGAAAAATTTGATATTTTGAGTCATTTAATCCAATAAGTTGATATCACCGTCATTGTTTTATTGACTTGAATATAATTTTAAATTAATGTTTCTCAAAATAAATACGTAGTATCTAAAATTGTTTACGTGGGTTGAATTTATATAGGTTATACTCATTGAAGAATATGATTATATTTTTTTCGTGTGTCTAGAACCATAAAATTCCAAATTCAAGCTTCTGGTGCTCCGAAAATCTTGCCTGCATTTCACGTAATTTTTAATAATATGCTTGGCTAGAAATTATTATTTCTACTTCGTATAAGGCTACTCGAGTAGCCAAACCCTAGACTAACAAGTTGCATGATAACTTGTGGTTTTGCGTATAGAGTCGTGGATTGAATGTGAGAGATATAATACAAAATGTTGTAGTACCTCCGTTAAATATTACTCCGTAGTTATAATTATAGGGTATTATCTATAAAATATTATTTGTAAAATATAAAATATTGCAAAATTACAATTAATATTTAATGGAGGAAGTATTTAATATTTGAGTTATTCCTCTAAATATTTTAATTTTTAAGCCCGCGCTATAAGCTCTATCACATGGTTGGGGTTTAGGTGGGGGGGGGGAGGTAGGTATGATTTATATCATACCTTTAGGTATGTATCAAAACAAAAATCTATTACTAATAATAACAATTGTTTTAATAAAGGGTATTAAGAATCAAGTTTGCAACTACATCCATATCACTATGTGAACCAAATGTCTCCTAATATTTATTCTATATGTAGTACTGAACTTCATTACTTCTTAGGTGCAACATATGCATTTACCTAAAATGAAAATGTTATAAAAATTTCACCATTATCTTATATACACAATAGAGATTCGACGTTATGAAATACATAAAATATTGAATCAACTAAAATTTTCTTTTATAAAAACTACGATCGTCGAGTAAATATTGGACTATAAAACATCTCCCACTTATATCACTGGAAAATACAGTCTTATTGGAGAGACAATATAGAGATCCTTTGTAGCTAAGAGGATGTTTTTCTTCTAATTCATTAGTCTGTTTTGATAACTTTTTCACCAATGAAATAATTTCACAACAATCCATTAGATCTAATATCATGGATTCAAAACAAAAAAATTTCTCCCTCGAAAAGAGGAGATAAACCTTTTCTTTCAAAAAGGATTAAAAAATCCTTATCTTTCGAAGGAGATCGAAAACCCTTTTTTTCGAGAGAGAAAAGTTTCTCCCAAAAGAAGGAAACATTATTATAAACCTTAAACAACCCAAATTCTCCTTGCCTCCCCGCCTAAAACGCCTCCCCCAATATCCCTTCCACCTTAGCCGAAAAACTCCTTGCCAAAACCCCAATGTGGGCGGCCCAGATCTCCCTCCCTCATGTCGACACCGCCCAATTTAGCTGCAAACACTTTTAATTTTGGGGTTTTGGGGTGGTGGCCTGGTTCATTGGGAGGGGGAGATGGGGGGGGAGTTGGAAAAAGGATAGGTGACATAGGTTCGACAGTGCAAGGGAGGTGGGTTTGATCGCCAACGAGGCAACGAGTGGATTTGGGAGCGTATAGAGGGTTTTTTTAGTTTTAGGGTTGGAGGATGGTGTAAAATTCGTAAATATTTTGTATTCAATGTACAAAGTATATTTTTTAGTTAATCTTTGTTATCCTATACTCCCTCTTATCATTTTTAACTAAATCTTAGATTTTTTTTGTTTCACATTTATGACTATACATTTTAAATAAGGAAAATTTTTAAATTACCACCCAAAAATGTAACCATTTTTAAACTAACCACCCGTTTAATTTTTTATTTTAAATTACCATCCCTTAAATTAAATAAATGCTCATATTACCATCCATTTCAAAAATCCGGTGGATTTTCCGTCTGTGGACCCAATCTAACGTTTATTTGACCCTTTTGACTGATTTTTCCCCCCTAATTTTCTCTTTAAAAACGCTCACTTAGCTTCAATTCACATTTTTCTCTTTGAAATTTGTTAGAATTTGGTGAAAGAAATGTGAATTAAAGTTTAGAGAGCATTTTTAAAGTGAAAAATCGGGGGGGGGGGGATCGAGCAAAAGGGTCAAACTTAGTGTTAGATGGGGCCTACAGATAGAAAATCCACCGGATTTTGTAAATGGGTGGTAATCTGAGCAATTATTTAATTTAAGGGGTGTTAATTTAAAATAAAAAATTAAACGGGTGGTTAGTTCGAAAATGGGTACATTTTTGGGTGATAATTGAAAAATTAACCTTTGAATTATTTATTTCTTTAATTTTGTTAAAGCCTTTCGATCTACATTTCATTTCCCACGTACACTAATTGCAGAGATGTGAGGCACCATCCATTTTGTATAAAGGTTTTCAGCGGGAAGGGCATGTAAAGGTCTAACACCTGAATATTGCCCGATAAATGGGTTGAAGTTGTATTGGGGTGGTGGACTGGTGGTGCCTCGGATCGCATGGTTGTACGTGAACTTAATGTTGCTAAAAAAAAAGCTTATTCTTGCATCAAGTTAATTAATATTGCTTTAAATTATAAAAAAATTTAATTAAAAATACTCATTAGATGTAAGTTTATAAATTTTTTTTTTTGAATTAGTACGTATGAACAAAAACAAAAAAAAGCCACAGAGTTTGTTCAAAGTTTTTTTTTTCTTAAAAGAAAAAAACAAAAAAGCCAGAGAGTATCAAGTAAAGGAATGAAATTTTATTGATCACAAGATTTTAAGTAACTTCTATGTCTCATGGACTCATGGTACATGTTAACATATATAATACATACAACAAGTAATACACTTAGCTTGTTTATTACAATTTTTTAGAATTTATTATAGTAAAATTAAATTTGAAATAATTTGAAAAAGAAATTTTGTTAGGCTGTGCCGAAGATTCTCTTCATTCGCATTACTTCTCCAGGACTCAAGAGTGTAATTTGTTGGGCTATATCAGCAGGTAAGTTCCCCGCAAATAAAGCGGTAGGAGTGAGTTGCAGTGCGGGATTTGCTCCATTCAAACTAACATACGCGGTAGCCGAAGTTTTGCCAACATTGATTTGAAAGTGAAGCATGGCTTGTGGAAATACCATCACATCACCAACCTCTAATCTTTTATAATATGCGGTGTTGTTGGTATCAATAAATCCTGCAATAATTGAACCTTTAACCAAAATAAGAACTTCAGATGTACGATGGGAGTGTACTGGGATTACTCCTCCAACAGCGAAGTCTAACCTGGCCATAGATATGCCTAAACCATTAAATGCTGGGAACACATCTGAAAATGCCAATGTCACATTATTCCCGAAAACATTATTGGGAGTTTTTTCACCACGGAAACCTGTGTAAACAAAATCATCAGTTGTGACTTTAGCAGGATCTTTGCAAGCATATCCTTGAGGTCCTCTAGGAAGACTAGGATCCCCAACACAAAAGTCGAGCTCTATGGCATGAGATAGAGTGGCTAGGAGACAAAAGACGACGATATATGAAAGATTGTTCATCGTGTAAGCTTTTAATAGCTAGAAAGGTGGTGTATGGTGGTGTTAGATCGTTAACTTAATACTAATGTAAGTATTGAATTGTAGATATAACTAATGTTGTAGATGAGTTTGTTGTATGTTCTTAGAGGCAATTGGTACCCTTTATATAGAGGTAACATTTGGTCAATTAGTCACTATGGCTAGTTTTGTTCAATTCGTAAAGGGTGTGATATTCTTTATTTGGTATGAAAGTCAAAGAAATACGTATTTTGCATTTAAGAGGTGATTAGATGCGGTTGAATATCTGTTTTTTTAGTCTAATTTTTAATTTGTCAGCGTTGTTGTTTTATTGACTTGAAAATTTCTTCAATTAAATTTTCTTGAAATGGTATGTATGAGTTGTATAAAATGATATTATCAATTTATTTGTATTGATTTGATTATAAATTTAGGATACTTTGAAGGAAACTACTTTGAATCAAAAAATAAATTTAGGATACTCTTATAAATTAAATTAAATTAAGTATTATCTTCAAATACCAGTTTTATACCACATTCAATGCTCCGGAAATATTGCCTGCATTTCGTATTTTATTAGTTAAATTACATGTAAAAAAGACCAAGTCAAGTTGACAAGACTAACAAATTGCAAGATGATTTATTTTGGGTTTTAGAGAGTTAGATATGGTCCATCTTCTACGACTCTACATATGGTGTAGTAATCTGCATCACATTTGTAAGAATTATTTTCTAAAATCTGCATAGTTAACTATAAAAAAAATTATGATAGCTTGTTACATTATTACTATGAGCCCACTGTGGCGTTATTTTTTTACGGAGTATTTACTAGTAAAATACTTCCTCCGTCCCTAAATTAGAAGCCTATTTCTCTTTATTATGTGAGTAATAAATATTAAAATTAGGCTTCTAATTAAGGGAGGGAGAAAGTAGTAAAATTTGGAATAAATATTCTCTCAAACAAGAGGTATGTAGCTCCAACCAAATTAAAGCGGTTGATGCATGTGGTCTGTTAAATGACAATTGCTTGCAATATTTTCTTGTGAAACTGCATCTTGTTCAACCTTTATTTTTTGTTCAACATTGGAGAGAATGTAATACAACAAAGTTCCTCAACCACACCACATCCAGATGTTTACAACGTTTAACTGTGTTTGGATAAAAAAAAAAGGGGGGGAGGGAGGAGAAGAGGAGGGGAGGGAAAGGGAGGGAAGGGAAGAATGCTGAATTTTTCCAAATCTCTCCAATGTTGGAGGGATCAATTTCTAACAGGGTACCATCCCAGGGTCATGTTCATGGCATACTGTGCCAGCTTGTGAGCCACCTTGTTCCTTTCCCTAGGGATATGGACTACGTAAACTGTCCAGCTCTTCAGGCAAAGCAAATGAGCAACATCTAGCAGAACAGCTGCGGCTTCATGATGAGGATTAGTTGTGGCAGAGAATAGCATGCGAGTTAACACTTCTGCATCAGTTTCGACTTCCATGAACTTTATCTTGAATTCTTTTTCCATCTCCAGACCTTCTCTTATAGCATAGAGCTCAGCTGCCAAAGGAGTAATTGCATTGTATTTGCTCGAAAATCCAATGTACCATCCCCCGAAGGGGTTCTAATGACTCCCCTTCCTGCTGCCTCTGAAGAGCTCTTCCATGCTCCATCCACATTGAGCTTCACAAAACCTGGAGGTGGCCGGATCCATCTTGGAGGCTTATCAACAGCAATTGCTTTTCCCTTCCCTTGGACAACATCCTGCAAAATATGATTAGTAATCTGATGATCAATAATGAAGCCATTAAAAACAGAAATCTTTGAATAAGATGCTTCTTCAAAGATTGTTCTGTTTCTCGCCTTCTAAAGGTGCCAAAGTGCTAGGATGAAAGTTGTCACCCATTTGCTAGACTGAGTTAGGTTCCCAGCAATCCAGCAATTCCAAGATTCTTCAAAAAAGGCACTTATATCAAAGTTCTTGGGTCTTTTAATGTGTTTGAAAAGCACTTGCCAAAATTCAGAAGCTCTAGGGCAATCCCTAAATAAGTGGATAAGACTTTCCTCATCTTGTTTACAACAAGCACAAATGGGATCACTACAAGAATTATGACTTTGGGCAACGACATAGCTATGAATGGGCGACGAGAATTAAACTCGTCGCCCTTATCTTTAAGTTTTGGCAACCAATAAAAAATTGTTTCCCATTATAACAGGTTGGGCAAGAACTAGTTGGTTTCATTGCACAAAGGCTATAATAGGCAACGAGTGTATATTTTGTTGCCCAAAATATTATATATTGTGCGACAAGATTATTAAGTCGTTGCCCGTAACAAAGACAAAGGACAACAAATAACCAAATTTGTTGCCCAAAATACTAAAAATTAAGGAGTAATTTTTTGGTTCTAAAAATTCACATCAAAATTTTGAAATTTGAAAAAACACTGTAAAAACTTAATTGTTAAATTTGACTCAATATATCTCTCATTACTTTCAGATCCCTTACCTTTTCAATTCTTATCAGGTTCTCTCTTCTATCTCCCTCATCCATCTCCAATTCTCCATGTACTTATCAGATTTTATTTACTACGACAAGGAATGGTCGAGTGTTGTTCTTTAATTCGATTCATCTGTTTTCTTTGGTATCTCAAGAGGAGAGACATCAAAATATTGTTCTAGGTCGAGATGATAAGACTGAGGTACTGAGCTTTGCAACACAGTCTTCAAATTCCCCTGCACCCACCACCCCTCGTTTTGCACCAAATCCTAACCAGCCCCTATCCTGTACCCATTGCAATAAACTTGGTCATGACTATGACCACTGCTATCAGCGTCTGGGCTATCCTAATGGGGGTCGGGGTCGTGGTAAAGGTCGTCCAAGCCGTGGTCGAGGAGCTGGAACTCAGGGCCGCGGGCAGTCCACTCCTACACCTACAGCAACTGCAACACAGTCTGCCCTAACAAGTGATGGCTTAGCACAGCAACAACAAGCATCCTCTTCTATTCCAGGTTTAACCACTGAGCAAGTGCAGCGTCTTTTGAGTCTTCTTGACTCTTCTCCGTCATCCGAAAAGTTGTATGGTAAGCATGTGTTTGAGACAAGCGTCTGGTTGCTTGATAGTGGTGCCTCACATCATATGACAGGCACACTTGAGCATTTTTTTTATTGCACTGACCTTTCTCCCAGACCCGCGAGTCTTCCTGATGGTGTACAAACCTCTGCTACAAAGCAGGGCAGTGTTTGTTTGAGTTCTAAATTAACACTTCACAATGTGTTATATGTTCCAAACTTAAAATGCAATCTGATTTCCATTGGTCAGTTGATTTTGGATTCAAATACTATTGTCATGTTTACTGACAAATTACGTATTATACAGGACCGCATGTCAAGGATCCCGATTGGACTGGGTGAGTTTCGGAATGGGGTGTACTTTTTCAAGCCGGTGGCTAAGCAAGTCTTCTCTCATGCTACAACTGTAGACACGACTCTTTTGTTGCATCGATCAGCGTCTTGGACATCCTTCAAGTCAGCATTTGTCTTTTATTTCTAGTGCTAGTAAGAATAGCAAAATAAAGAAATTGTTAGATCGTTGTGATGTTTGTCCCCGAGCTAAACAAACTCGTACTGTTTTTCCAATTAGTGAGAATAAAGCAGAAGATTTGTTTGATTTGATACACTGTGATTTATGGGGTCCCTATACAAAAACCTCTTTTACTGGTGCTCATTATTTTCTTACGATTGTTGATGATTGCTCGCGTAGTGTATGGATGTATTTGTTGAAAGACAAAAGTGAAGTACAGGGTTGTCTTAGAATTTTTTTTGCTGTAGTTAAGAAGCAATTTGGCAGGGATGTGAAGGTTGTTCGTTCTGACAACGGCACTGAGTTCACTACTACACCACTACAACAATTTTTTCATGATATTGGAGTCCTATTTCAATCTTCTTGTGTTGCCACGCCACAACAAAATGGTCATGTTGAGCGAAAATACAGGAATATTTTGGAGGTGGATCGTGCCCTTAGATTTCAAGCTTCTCTTCCGATAAGATTTTGGGGTGAATGTGTCCAAGCAGCAGTTTATCTTCTCAATCGTACTCCTACTAAAATCCTTGATGGTAAGACACCTTATGAGGTATTATTTGGTTCTGCCCCACAATATGCTCTATTGAAGGTGTTTGGTTGTTTATGCTATGCTCACAATAAACCGAGACAAAAAGACAAATTCGCCTCTCGTAGTCGGAAGTGTATATTCCTAGGATACCCATTTGGTCAGAAGGGATGGAAAGTCTACGATCTTGAAACTCAGGAATTATTTGTTTCACGTGATGTTCGGTTCTTAGAAGATGTGTTTCCATTTTCTCATAATTCTGAAGAAACTAGTGCTCCACTATCAGCTCATGATGGTGCTGCATTCTTTGACTTAGATTTCCTTTCCCCAAATCATATGGAGAGGCAAAATAGTGCCAGCAATTCACAAGACAGGGGGAGTGATGCTACTGAGCACCTTGCACCTGATCATGTGCAACCTCTTGATCCTTCACGTCTGCAATCTTCTTCGGCAGCAACTGAGTCCTCCTTGCAAGGTTCGACATCCATGGACTTGTCTCATGACAGACCTACTACTTCTACAGATGAAGCTCCTTTTCTTGAGCGTGGTGATCGATCACGCCGAGCTCCTGCTCATCTTATTGACTATATTTGTCACTCGGCTCGTACATCCCATTCTACTTCATCAACACCCATGTCTTCGGTTTCCTCAGGTATGCGTTTTCCTATAGCCAATTATGTTCAGTATAATAATTTTTCTGATAATCATCGGGAATTTGTTGCTGCTGTTACTGCTAATACTGAACCCAGGTCTTATAAAGCGGTTGTTTATCAATCAAGATGGCGTAAGGCTATGCAGATTGAAATTGATGCTTTAGAAAGAAATTCCACATGGGAGATTACAGATCTTCCTCCAAGGAAGAAACCCATTGGCTGTAAATGGGTATACAAGACTAAGTATCGGTCAGATGGTACTATTGAGAGAGATAAGGCCCGGCTGGTAGTATTTGGGAATCATCAGAAGGAGGGTGAAGATTTCAATGATACTTTTGCCCCCGTGGCAAAAATGGTTAGTGTCAGAACGTTTTTAGCTGTGGCAGTAGCTAAAAATTGGGAGGTTCACCAACTTGATGTAAACAATGCGTTCTTGCACGGAGATCTTCACGAGGAGGTCTACATGAAGCTTCCCCCTGGTTTTTCTCCTTCATCTCCTACTAAGGTGTGTCGTCTGCGGAAATCTCTTTATGGCCTTCGTCAGTCACCAAGAAATTGGTTTTCCAAGCTTTCTTCAGCTCTACGAAAATATGTGTTTCATCAGTCCCATGCTAATCATACACTCTTTATTTTCGGGAAGGCTGGTGACATTCTTTCTATTTTGGTATATGTTGACGATATTTTAGTGGCTGGTAATAATCCTACATTATGTGCATCATTTAAGAAATATTTGGATACATGTTTCCAACTTAAAGATTTGGGACCTCTGAAATATTTTCTTGGCATCGAATGTGCACGTTCTGATGAAGGAACGTTTCTTTGTCAGCGTTAGTATACCCTTGACATTTTACAGGAGGCAGGTTTGTTGGCCTCAAAGCCAGTTGATACACCTTTGCATCAAAATCATAAGCTCGCTTCCGCCACAGGCCCTCTATATGCTGATCCTGCACAATATCGACGTATAGTGGGTCGTTTAATCTATCTCACTATTACACGCCCAGACATATCTTATCCTGTTCATATATTATCCCAGTTTATGCAGGCTCCTCTTCAAGAGCACTTTGATGCAGCTATGCGTATGCTGCGATATATTAAGTCTCATCCTGGACAAGGTATATGTTGTGCGACAGCGGAAGCAAAGGTCGTAAACAAACAAGAAAACAATAAAGAAATTCAATGCAAACAATAAGAACAACACCAAGAATTTACGTGGTTCACTATCGATGTGATAGCTACGTCCACGGGCACCGAGATCGAATGATTTCACTATAAACTGCAAAGATTACAAAGATGATTCTTGTATTTCTCAAGAACGGCTTTCACTCTGTCTCTCTTAACCCTAATACTGATATTAGGGAGGTTTTATATTAATCCCTAATTAAAAGATACTTGGGCAAAAAGATAATAAAATAAGATAACCTAAAACCGCAAAATCCGCGTTCCGTATTTTTCCTTCTCCGCCCGGTCAGACCGGGCAAGGTCTGCCCGATCGGGCGCGAGAAGAAAACTCCATACGAATGCTTCAACGTATCCAACCCCCACCGCCCGGTCAGACCGGGCAAGGTCTGCCCGATCGGGCGAAGGCTCGCCCGGTCGGGCGAAGGCTCGCCCGGTCGGGCGCGAGAGCAGCTTCTTCAACGAATTTGCCAGGCACCTCTTCTTCTTCCGCCCGGTCAGACCGGGCAATGTCCGCCCGATCGGGCGGACAAAGCTACGAAGTACGAGTCACCTAATATACTTATCAACAATCTCCACCTTGACGAGAACTCGTAGTCAGCAAACGACCCCATCAAGACATAGTGAAAAAACATCTCAAGCCAAACCCGATGCAGGACTCATGCATAAGCCATACATCCCGATAAGTCTTCAACCAAGACCCATCACATACTCGTCTCCAAGTATAACAACTCATAATGCTCCACCTGCATCACAAGCCCCGGGCAAGCTCCACCTTAAGGCCAACACACCTACACCAGGAGCTCCCCAACTTCGCCCCTCAGGGCCTACTACATCACGTAGTAATCAATATTTAGCAAGTCTAAGCAATGTTTAAACTTGCTAAACGGAACAGGCTTAGTGAAGAAATCAGCCGGGTTGTCAGCAGTCCCAATCTTCTTCACCTTAATCCTCTTGTCAGTACGTAAGAAATGATACCTGACATCAATGTGCTTCGTCCGATCATGGTGTACTTGATCTTTAGCTAAGCAAATCGCACTTAGACTATCACAATACACTGTAGCAAAATCCTGTGCAATACCCAGTTCACCTACTAGGCCTTTGAGCCAAATAGACTCCTTAGCTGCAGAAGTTAGAGCCATATACTCAGCTTCAGTAGTTGACAACGTAACTGATGACTGCAATGTAGACTTCCAACTAACCACAGAACCACCCAAAGTGAACACATAACCAGTCACAGACCTCCTGGTATCCACATCAGCTGCATAATCAGAATCACTGTACCCAGTGACCAAGCATTCCTTACCATTCCCGTACACAAGACCAATATCAGCTGTCCCTCTCAGGTAGCGAAAAATCCTTTTCACCCCTTGCCAGTGTTCCCTCCCAGGTCGAGCCATAAACCTGCTTACAACACTAACAGCATGCGCAATATCCGGCCTAGTACAGACCATAGCATACATCAAACAACCAACCGCGTTTGCATATGGAACTCTAGACATATAAGACAACTCCTCCTCTGATTGAGGTGACATAGACAAAGACAACTTACAACTAACAGTAGTTGGCGTACTTATAGGCTTCGATTTTTCCATCCCAAAACGAGACAGAATCT